ATTAAGGAATATTTGTAAAACTGTGCATAGACTGATGAAAGCATAAAAAATAAAAATAAAAATCAGAGCTAAATCAGCAAAATCTAACAATACATAATGCACTTATCCACTCCATGACATGATTTCCTTATGCGTGAAGCTAACCCTAGTGTAACATTATTTATACAGCGGAAGCTACAACCTCAACCTGCACAAGTTTTTGTTGTTATGAGTTCTCAATAGGGCAAACAAGAGTTTATAGGCTTCATTGCTTAAAAACTCTAACTTCAAAAATTCTTAAGCACAAACTTTTCTTTCTGGACCTTTTATACATATAAAATTATTTTAAGCCTGGCCATTTTAAAACTTGTAGAAAGTTGTGTAAAAATACTAACAATTGACAACTGGCAAACGTTCAGTTATACATTTCTCTCGTAGTTGCCTGTTTGAGCTAATCTTTTAAATTGGAGAGATTTTTAGAAATAGAAAATGACATCTCATATGAAAGTGTTTCCTCACTGCTTAAAAACTATTGTTGAATAAAACAGTTTAACAGAAGAAATATATATGTACATAGGCACATACAAAGTATGCACACATACTAAAGGGCTGCCACAATTGCACACAGACTTGTACATCTGAATATCGGGGGGAAAAGTCTTTAGCACAGTATTACAACTAGCCCTAAACAAGTAGAAAACTCATGTTAGTTTGTTTCAACTTCAAGACTGTTCTTTGGTGACCATGAAAAATACAAGTGATCAGCAATGCTCAACGGCATAAGAGTAACTACAACAATAAGGCAGAAAGGAAAAAGTTACCTCTCTTTCCAAAGAGGGTTCAAAAGCAGACACAGAGCTACATGGGGGTTACCTCTGAATAAGGAACTGAGAGCAAGAGCAATCCCAATTTAAGCATACATACAAGTTTATTTTTTTTTTATATGTATGACTACAGTTTTCCCATGGTTGCAAATTTCTTAAAGAGACTTTTTTCACACTTGCTGTGCTTCCCAGTATCATCAGAGATCACTTAAAGGACATTTTATTGATGTGATTTACAAACCAAATTAGAGTATATTGTTTGCTTTTTCCATACTGTATGTAAATTAAAATGGAGAATTTTGGATGGTGGTTATCACTGAGGTTGATATTTCATACTTCACTGTAAAAAGTCAGTGATTATTTTCAAAGAGCAAAATTATACTATCTTAATAAATATGGTGAGATATACTCTTCCAGAATGTATATGTTTTCCTTAAGACAAGTGGATTAATAATAACGTGAGACATAATTTTCAAAATAAACAGAAAATGGAACACATATATATCCAAACCAAAAAATATATTCTATGGTCAGTACTGTATGCAGTGTTATAAAATAAGTTAGTTCTACTGTATTAGAAATCTCCGCAAGAAATATCTCCATAATTGAAACATCACACAAAATTTCTACAACGTGACACTGCTCAAAGCTAGTTGACAAAAGTTAGTTTTAAAAATAAAACAGTGTTATAAACATGCATATAATTTTAATATATCGGTGTTTAACAAATGACTGAGTATTAGCATACTAATATCATATCTCTCTTCTGAGAATATGCACATGTGTTCTCTGATGCAGAAGAACTATTATAGTTCAATTCCACATGATGTAGGAGAAGGCAAGATATGGAATTGTCTTCTGCAAAGTGGATAGTCCATATAGTTCTCTATGCATAGTTGGGCACCAATGAAGAAGAGCAGATAAATTGTACATTCTTCAAATATTACAGAAACCAACATCTTTGAAGGACAGAAGCCACCGCAAGTTTCTTAAGTTCTCGAAACCCCTACTGAAAACTGCTGTGCAGACAGCCAAGTAGTCTGCAATTTGCAGCTTTCTAGTTTTGGACCTTGAAGGCATATTGGTTTGAGTAGGTTTTTTTCCTGTTTTAATACTAAGATTTTTAATAGTTGAACCAGTTTATTATTCTCAGAACAGAGGAGATTAAGCATTAACCAAAACATTGCATATAGTTAAGAAAATCCCAAAAATTTCACATACATAGTTTTACCTCTGTGTTTCCAGATACAGTGATCTGTGTAAGACATAATTTCATAACCAGTGGAGGCTTGGCACTCACAGACTTCCTAAATGAGGCCACAATTGGATGAAGTAAATTAGGGATTGGTGACTAGTACCCTGATACACATCGGATAGTAAATGCAAACTCCCAGTGATTCTCTCTCTGAAAATCTATCAACCTTCAAAAGAACAAGTAGCTGACTATACGTTGCACTTGTCCTGGGATATCCAGTGGCAGAGACCTGAAATTTTATGTACAATCTCTAAAGTGGCCATAGTTGCTCTGCCTCCCAGCAAAATCTATAACAGTTAGTATTTCTTTCCTAGTCATAGAATGGTTTGGCTTGGAAGAGATGTTTAAAGATATCTAGTCCAAGCCCTCTGCTATGGGCAGGGACATCAATACACTCATATTCAACAACCATTAAGGCTGCATTATCTTCCCCCTAGAAAAGTTTTTAAGCACCGTGGTCTGGTACTTCCAAACTAGCATGAAGCGATGCCAAATCAAATATACATTAAAACTTAATCATTGGAACTCTGTTTTTTTACTTGCACATTTCTTATGTAAATGAAACATATTGAGTACTATGATATGTGTTTACGCATAAATTAATGAAGTCCTGAAAGGAGTAAACCAGTATCACCACTTCTAACCATATAACACAATATAATAACAAAATTACACTGTACTAAGCATTTCAATAATAGGGACCAAATTATCATTTTTGGTCCTTATAGCTTTGTATCTTCTTCACCTCAAACTATTGGTAGTGATCGGCATTTCTCTTGAACAGAGTGTATGACTAGATGCCTACTGACATCCTTTCTTACCTGAATTATTCCATCATTCTAAGAAAAATGCTCACACTTCCCAATTAGTTAACTAAATATTCAAAATATTACTTATTTGAGCTCTTAATTTGGCCTCATGAAGACTCTTTGAGAATTACTAATATATCTGGATTTCAAAAGCTTTCCACAATCTCCTTCACTATCAAGTTCTTAACTATCTTTGCAGTTAGAAAGCTTTCTTAACTTTTAAGCAAACTTCTTCTGTTACCAACAAAGCCAATTATTCCATCTCCTACCTTAGCTACATAGAAAACAAATGTTCAAATGCCTTATTTATCATAAATTAATAACAAAAGGACACTGTTATGTTCTCCTTATGTTAATCTCCTTTCTTTTCTAAACTAAATACATCAAATGCTTTTTTCTCGGTTTGGAAGTGTTACATGTTACTAGCACCTGGATTCTTACCAGTCAGTCTACATATTTTCTGCAGTAATTGAGACAAGACTTCATTTAAAACCTCATCAGCACCAAGTAAGCAGAAGATAATTACCATCTTTATAATACATAGAAGGTCCACTAAAAGACATTTTTTCCTCTCCAACAGAATGTTGTAACCTCTTGCAAAGCTAAATAACCTGTAAGTGTGCAAATCTAAGCAACTATGAAATCACAGATTATCAAATGCATTTAATGCCAGAGCACTGTAGAGTTAGACAGGACTTAAATCCATTTTCTGGATTTCTGCCTAGCCATTCTCATGCCTTACGTTCATTATCTGCACACATCAGTTCCCTTTCCTATGTGTAGTACTTCACGGTAGTCTTCAAAATTTTCATCTTCTAGAGCTTAAATTATTTCTCCAAGATAATTTTTGAATTTTGATCCTGCTCTGCAACATACCTGTAACAATTACCTTCAAATTGTTTTCAGCACTGTATTTTTTTTTTGTTGTCTTGTGCATTAAAAGTACAGAGAATATAACCACATCTAGGACAGATTCTTGAAAAATCGTACCTAGGAAGTAAATACACCCAATTTGAAAGAATCTTCAGTATCTTCCTTCTGAATACGTTTCTCAACAAATTGTACTTTTAACTTAATAACTTCATCTACACTGTATTTCTCTAGGTGGCTAATGCATGCTTAAATGTGTACTTTAGACTAGGGAAGGTACATAACTTTTTCTCTATGAATATTTAAGTTATAGGTATAGCATTCAACACTCAAGAACCATAGTGACAGAATTCTTCTGAAACATGGCAGAGTAAGGGTGATTATTTTAAAGAATGTAGAAGTTAACATATTGTATTTTCTCTTGTGTAAAAAGATAAAGAAGCTGAGAGAATATGAAGAGTACATACAAACTTCCAAATAATTCCTTTCTCGTAAGGACCATTACGTACATGTGCACTTTCTGTAGATTTTGCAGTGACCTCCCAGAGGGCATAGGAAAAAAATAACAACACTAAATAATAGGAAGGCAAATATGATTGGAATCGATTATAAATTAACACTCAGGAAAGTATAGATATCTTTTTGTATATATCTTACACAAAAGTTGAAAGAGCGAACATGTAAGGAAATTTAGAGAAAACAGGGAACTGATGAAACTGAGCAACAGTAAAAAGAGAATCAGATAACAAGAAAATTTATGTAAAAGAGGAAATGTAACTGTGTTAAAACAGATTAAAATGTGACAGTCTTAGAAGTGCTCAGACATGTAAGACTACAACACTACTATGATCACAGTGACATGGTCTTTTCATAACCTTATTTATTGGTTTTTTTATTACTATTATTCTCTCAAAATGGAATCTTCTAAAAGTTTAAATGCAAGTCAGTCTCAGGATGACTGTACAGAGATTAGCTGTATTGTGCAAACCATAAACTAATGCTAAGAATTATGAAAAAAAAAAAGAAAACTAATTAACTGCAGGAAAAACATCAAAACAAAGTATTTAAGTAGTGTAATAAAAACAAATTAAAAAGTGAATGTAATACTCAACATGAACAATTGAAAACTCACTTTACATAGGGAGCTTAGATTATATCCAAAGGTCTGTGCATTCCGAGAACCTGCATTCATGTAGTTTCCCATTAACAATACTAGTTCCAGCAGCTTGCTAAAGCTTTTACTCTTCTTTATCTCTTCACAGGCAGCACTGACAGCCATGATGTCAGGTTTGATGTTGTTCACCTGCTCCTCAAACTGAAGCTTAAAAAGAATAGCACTGAGTCGTGGCCGTAGTCTCTTCACGTTGCTCATCTGATTGAAAAGAAAATAGGAGATTTCCTTTAAAATTCATGGTACACTTTGGCACTGTACAAATACATACAATCTGAAATGATTTATTGGTGTGACAGGCTTGAAGAAGCAATATACCTGCTATAACTGATAGCAAATGAATGAATGAATGAGAGACACTTGGGTAAGCAACTGAAATCCCATCTTGTGGTTAATACTAACTGCCTCCATCCTTTCCCAATAACTAGTATGTGTAAGTAATAAAAGATAAAGTGTCATCATATATCACATCTGTCAACTTGTATACCAAATCCTATAAAACTAATCCAAGTTTATGACCCAGTAGTTGCAAAGTAATAAAAGGGGTTCACAAATTTTGTGTAATTCAGGATGTACCAAAACAAGGCAAATTTAATTTTCTGGTGCAAACATTTAAAAGATGATTTCAATAAGAACTTCCTATAAACTTGCAGGAAAATAACGATTTTGAAAAGTCTCAGCTATGAAACTCTTATTATAGGATATGTTAATATATACCAGTATTCATACCCCACTTTATTCCTGTATACTAAGAGTTAACTAGGTAAAGCAGAATGCTCCCAGGAAAATAGTAGCTTTTATAGATCATATGCAAAAGACTTGGCTTTTTCCACAGTTTACCAGTTCAGTATTTTCAACAGAAGTTTCAATCTTCCCATATAGCTTAGGTCACTGAATTCTCATGCCAGAGATACTTTGCATATTATTTACTATATTAAAACAATACTCCAAATTTTATTGCTTCTTTAAATCAAGGAACATCAAATGCATTAAATAAATTAAATTGTTCCATCTCTCAAGCTTCAAACTTACTAGTAATCCTTTCAACTCTATCACAGAAATCTGCAAACATTTTTTAGGTTTGCATCACATACAATCCCAGAAGCCTTCTGTTTTCCATTCTTGCTCCTTTTCTCCCTACCAGGCATTATATGTTCCTTGCTTTTTCCTTCTTTCACAGCAGGAAGGTTTTTTTCCTCCCTGCTCTGGTTCTGTTTTCACGTGAGGAACACTTGTCTCAAATTCTTCCATGACCTTCTTCCCTCATTTTTCCCTGTCCCTGTTTTCTCATCAGTTTGATGAATTCCGGAACACCTTCTTCCCCATACTTATATTTGTCCTTCTCAAGGCAAGGTTCAAGACAATAATGCCTTCACAATTGCTCTAATCCTAAACTAAGGGGTTTTGTGGGGTTTTTTTGGTTGGTTGGCTGCTTTGGGGTTTTTTTGGTTGTTTGTTTTTTTAAATAAAAAACACATATTACGGTTTTGAGCAATCAGTATTTCTCAATGCAAGAGAAGAGGCAGTAATATTGGCACTTTTTCTACAAAGTAATAGGTTTCATATAGTGGCCTTAAGTTTGCCTTTAAAGTGGAAATATCCCCCTCCAAACCCGTGATACCTAAGGTTTTACAGAATATTTCTCAATCCATATCCAGTCTATCAATTCAAACATAGCTCTGACGGTGCAACCTGCACAAGTCATTTGGTGCTGATTATTCCACAATAGACTCAGTGAAAAGAAGAATGGTGACACTCTTCATCCTTTTCAGTGTAAAGTCAAACAAGTTACCTTAAACTGATACTGAAGGCTGTCTAATCCTTAAGTAAGATAAGCAATCCCTTCCACTAACCACACTTTGGTTTTCATCACACAGCAGAGGACACAAACAGGATGCCTTTGAGATGAAACTAGTTTGAAAAATCAACTCCACTACTGAGCTTTAGTCCACAGCCTGCCTCCAGACTGGTCCTGAAGTAAAACACTAAAATGTTTATAGTTTGAACAGTAGCTCAGTATCAACGGTAGGCAGATATTCTGTACTTATCATACACTAAATAGCATCCAATAGCGTGGTAAAATTCTTACTTAAGAACAGGTAAGCACAGATAATGGGACTTGAATTCAAATAGGGCATTTCACAGTGAAATAGAAAAGGAAATACCTAAAATCCACCTAAAATAAACATCGTGCTCTTACAACTTTACACCTAATTTAAGAATAAATACCTAAAAGAATAGATGCAGGTGTCACAAAGTCATTCTCCCAGCTCCATCAGGAAGAATCAGTATTAACTGCATTTCCTCAAACAATTCACTTACTAGATTTATATATGTACTACTACTTCTCAGCATATTGAGAATAATATTCTTAATTTTAAGTTTTGTTCTCTGTTCAGCCAGGAGAATTTGAGACTAGACTAGAAAAACCACAAAACTCCATTGAAATTATCCAGATTTTTAATATTTGTCCCTACTCAGGGTGCAACAGAGATGATCATTAATATTAAACAATGGGAACTAACAAAATAAAGTGTAAGTTGCATTGATTTTAAATGCCACCAAAGTCAGGATACTACAGAACCAGCAGATGATACATTTTTTTCTTGACTCCTGGCTTCTCAGACAGACAGACTCTTGAAACTTAAATAATCAGGTAATTTAGATCACAAAGATGCGTTGCACAAATATGAGCAAGCACAAATGCATGAAAGATGCAAAGTTTTCATCCGAACCAGTTGAACAACAAATTAAGAAGTTCTGTAGGTAAGTGTTGAGGATGGATGCAGAAATATGTAAATTTAAAAATCAGAAACAGAAGCACATGCCAGAAATGTAACAGAAATGCCATTAGGCTTTTTTTTATTACTATTTTTTAAACACTCTGACATCCATAGTTCATGTACAAAGTATGTTGTTGGTACTACTTGTTTACCTGTTTGCTAAGTCAGTAATTGAGAAGGGAGGAGCTGGAGAGTTCCCTTAGCAACATATGGCTTTGAAATATATTCAAACTGAAAAATCTATACACATTATCACAAGACATGCTAAGAATTTAAGTGTTGCAATGTTGAGAGGTTTATGTTCATGTCCTATATATAAAGTATAAAAAAGTATAAGTACATAAGTCCACTTATGTCCTTATAGTGGAATCCTGAAAACAGACAACCAAATTACTAAAAAGGGAAGTTGAAGTGGAAAGCTAAAGAGTGAGTGGACTACACGTCAGAGAACTCGGTGTATGGGTAACTAATTGTTCTATTTGTCAAGTAACATTCTCACTATGTGCAAGTCCAACGGGGAATTGACAGCTGAGTTGAGATGTCCAGTAGTAGCTCTCACAGCCCTTTATCCAATAGCAAAGAGAGGTTTTTCTCTCAAATATAGGATAAATCAGAAGGCATGTCCAAGACTGCCATCTGGTAAATGTGTATCTTCACTGTCTGCTTTGTTGATGTCAAGTAAAGGAACATGTCTCAGAAGTTACACTGAGATTACATTTTGATCACTGAATGTAATTCATTCTTCCCACAAGCTCGTAGAGAAAAACAGTGCAAGGGTTCCAGTTTCACAGTATACCTTCCTTAAAGGATCAACAGTGCTGAGGCTGTCAGACCACCTGAAAGTGTTCCCATCCAAAAACTAAAATATCAGTTACAGCCCAGTCGACTAAAAGAGTAAACTGGAAGGGTATCCCCTATGGAAAACATGATTTACATCACTGCAGCATGAGTGAATTCTACAGAGTGCACAGGTAAAAAGTGTGAATTGCTAACACTTATCTTTAGGTTAAGGCACTTGAAAAGCAGAAAAAAAATTTCAAGTAAGTAAGGACTGATACCTTAACAGACCTTTAATCACATTTAAACAAGAAAAAAAGAACACCCTGCTCAATTTGAAATGGGCAATCACCATGCCCAAATCTTAGTGAAGACTACCAGCATTCTGGAAAGACCAAACATTATTTCAATGTATGGGAAGTCAATCCACAATAATGGAACAGTAATTTTGTTGAGATGTTTTTATGGCTATGTGAAAATAGTACATCTTGCTTCATCTTTGACACTCTTTTTCCCAAATAAATGATAATAAAGTCAATAACCACCAACTCAAAATTAAAATTACTTACGAGAAATCAGTAAGTCTGTATACTTACAATGTAGATATGTATACATGCAAACAATTGAACTGATGACTTTTCAGCCTTACTAGCACTGACAGAGGGTATGTCCTGCAACTCTCTATCTCCAGCTTGAATTATAAACAGCTCGAATTTGCACCACTGACTCAATTTCTTGCAAATTGCAAGATGTTCCTGAAGGATATTTGGGACAGAAAAGAAGGGAGTGTACTGTAAATTACACAGGGGCAACACATACCAATTACCTCCCAGCTGCACACAGGTCTTCTCTTATCTTGTGGATGACAGTGCACTGATGTACAGTGCAGAAAATCCCTGGTACTGTTTTTGGTGGCATTATGTTCAACAAACATCGACTGGCAAGGCCAGCCTGCAGATCTCAGAAATGGGGGCATCCCTTTTGAATACTCCAGAAGTCACCTGTCTTAAGAAATACAACCAAATTGCCAATGGGGGCTACAACACAGCTGTCAAAATAAATTGAGTTTACAGTCTTCATGCTGAAATTCACAGATAGGTACGTTCTATTATGAAAAGAAAAAGGTGATTGTTTTTGATCCAAAAAATACATTTAGATTTACTTACATCTTGATCAGAATGGAATGCAGAGACTACTTTTGTTTCTCCAAGTTCAATTTAGATAACGATATTTTCCTAAAAAGGAATCATCCAAGAGTGGGAGGGTCTGAACTTCCCAAATTCTTCTATTTTTAGCAGACCTAACAGATGTCAGCAAAGCTATTTTCATTAAAAGGTACATATGGAGCAGATGCCACTAGACTGAAGAGCGTTCCTCATGGGAAACCAAATCAAGAGTTTAATATAGGTAAAAATCCTCTGTAAAACCTCTAATTAAGCCAGATAGCATAAATAAATAAAGTTATACCAGAACTCAAGGGCAGAAATCATTGAAGAATTTAAAATGGAATAATACAATATCAAACCAAATGGAGAAAAGATTCTAAAAGTAAAACAGATCTAGTTGTATTCCAGATAGAAAAATCTGATCAGCTTAGCTCTAAAATAAATGCCACATCATCTATATGGCTACTACCAGGAA